CGCGGCCGCCCTGAGCCAGCAGCAGAACCTGCAGGAGCGGCTGCGCCTGCGGGAGGAGCGGAAGCAGCAGGAGGAGCTGATGAAGGCCTTCGAGACGCCCGAGGAGAAGCGCGCACGGCGGCTGGCCAAGAAGGAGGCCAAGGAGCGCAAGAAGCGGGAGAAGATGGGCTGGGGTGAGGAGTACATGGGCTACACCAACACCGACAACCCCTTCGGAGACAACAACCTGCTGGGCACCTTCATCTGGAACAAGGTGGGCCCCGCTGGGTGGCGGCTTCTGTCCCTGTAGTCTTCCACTGTTTCTGGAGACCCCAACACTCCAGACACTCCCAGCCCGCGCTCAATCGTGAAAGATCGCATGAGCCAGCTTCTGCCGCCATCAGCTTTTTTTTTTTTTTTTTTGGACACAGGGTCTCGCTCTGTCGCCCAGGCTGGAGTGTAGTGTGTGATTGTGGCTCACTGCAGCCTTGACCTCCTGGCCTCCAGCGATCCTCCTTCCTCAACCTTTTGACTTTCTGGGACCACAAGCACCACCACCATGCCCAGTTAATTTTGTATTTTTTTGTAGCGATGGAGTCTCACTGTGTTGGCCAGGCTGGCCTCGAACTCCTAAGCTCAAGTGATTTTCCCACCTCAGCCTCCCAGAGTTCTGGGATTACAGGTGTGAGCCACTGCGCCCGGCTCACCATCACTTTCTTGCCATTAGCTGTGTCTCTTGCGGTGTAAGCTTCAGCTATTCTTTGCCCCGAACACCAGCCCAACCTGAAACCTGTCTGGAGAGCCAGCTCTTGGCATCGTGTACCCAGGACAGGGTTCCACAGTTCCAGGTGCTCTGTCGTTTTGAGCTGGTTGTTTCGTTCTGCGCCTCCCATGTAACCACTAGCCACACTGGTGGCAAAAAACAACAGAACTTTTCATCTCTTCGTTCTGGAGGCCAGAAGTCCAAAATCAAGGCGCGGGCAGGTGTGGGCAGGACCGCACTCCCTCCGGGGGCCGAGGGGAAGCCCCTCCTGCCTCTCCCAGCTCCCAGTCATGGCTGGTGATTCCTGAGCCCTCCCTGGCTCGTAGCCGCAGAACCCGGCCTGTTCCTGTGTTGCGTGGCTGGCTCTCTTCCCATCCCTGTCTCCACACGGCCTTCTCCTCCGTGTGTCTGTGTCTGAATGTTCCTTTTCTCATGAGGATACCAGGCGTTGGATGAGGGCCTGCCACCTCCAGGATGCCCTCATCTTACCTATGTCTGCGAGACCTCATCACTTTTTTTTTTCTTTTTGAGACAGAGTCTCGCTCTGTTGTCCAGGCTGGAGTGCAATGGCGTGATCCTGGCTCACTGCAACCTCCGCCTCCCAGGTTCAAGTGATTCCCGTGCCTCAGCCTCCCAAGTAGCTGGAATCACAGGCGTGTGCCACCACACTCGGCTCATTTTTGTATTTCTAGTAGAGATGGAGTTGAACCATGTTGGTCAGGCTGGTCTCGAGCTCCTGACCTCAAGTGATCCGCCTGCCTTGGCCTCCCAAAGTGCTGGGATTACAGGCGTGAGCCACCGTGCCTGGCCAAGACCTCATTTCACATAGGGTCACGGTTATAGCTACAGGGGTTCAGATGGGGATGTGCCTGTGGGGGACACAGCTCATCTGAAGCAGCGCCCACTTGTGGAGGGAGTGGAGCAGGCAACGGGTGGGCTGGGCCGACTGCACCTGCTCGCCGGTTGCGCAATTGGGAGCTGTGGGGTCCCCAGGTGGCTTCTGCCCAGTGTCGTCTGAGAACACAGTGGGCTCCTTCCGCCTTGGGGCCCTCACACCGCTGCACCCCTGCCTGGCCATGCTCTGCCCCTTCCCGGGCTGTTCTCTTTTGTCAGGCCTCAACTGACATGTCCCCTCTTGAGAGAGCCCTTCCTGGCCCCTTGCTCCCCAGCCCCCCCACCAAGTTCTTTATTGAGGCACCCACTGCTGCCTGGCACTTCATCGCCACTGTGTGCTGTGCGCCTGCGGTGTGCTGGGCACCGCTGTGAGCCCTGGGAGGGCAGCCATGGAGGAGGAAGATGTGGTCATCATTAACACTTGTGGAAGTGGCCCCAGGCTGGGCTGGATAGACCACAGAGTGGCCTGGGCATCTAGGGGGTGGTCCCCAGCCAGGCAGCCTGTGTCCCTGGAGGCAGGTTCTTCTGGGTGGCAGAGGGTCCTGGAACCCCCTCATGGCGACGGGGCGCCTGGAACCTGGGGAGGGTGGTTGGGAAGTGGGGGCTCCACACCAGGCTCCTAGACAGCTGCTGGAAGAAGCCAGCTTTGAGGGGCTCCAGGCTGGGACGGTGCCCATCCATGGCTGCCCCGTGCCCTGCTGTGTGGGCCGGGCCCCATGACCCCACAGGTTTGCTTTCAGAGCTGCTGCTGCCCCCACTCACTGTTCCTGCCCCGCCCCACGTGCACTGGGGGACCCTGACTTGCTGAGGTCATGGCCTTCACATCCGAAGCAGCCAGACTCCCGGGTAAAGCGAGTCAGCGGGCCCGGAGCAAGGCTCTTCTGTTGGGGGCTGGGGAGGCCCTGATCGAGGCCCTCCTGTTGGGAGTTGGGGTGGCCCCAAGCAAGTCCCTCCTGTTAGGATTGGGGTGGCCCTGAGTGAGGCCCCTCCTGTTGGAAGTTGAGGTGGCCCCTTCTTCCCCTTTGCATACACCTCACTCCCAGTGGAGCTCCGTGTCTGTGCTGAATTGGATCCGCTTGGTTTCAGGAGCATTGAGGAGGGGTTGGAAGATGTGCAGTGCGGGCAGGTTGCCTCTCTCTGCAAAACGAGGGCCGTGGTCAATCTCTTGGACGAAGGAGCCGAGGAGGGGGGCGAGGGGGCAGGTCTGTGCTCAGACGGGTGTGCTTGGCGCTTCCAGGCCCTAGAGAAGAAGGGGATCAGCCACCTGGAGGAGAAGGAGCTGAAGGAGCGGAACAAGAGGATCCAGGAGGACAACCGACTGGAGCTGCAGAAGGTAGGCGCCCCCCAGTCTGCTGGGCAGGGCCCTCCCTCTCCAGGGCCTGGAGGCCCACCCGCTGTGGCGGAACTTGAGGAGGCTTAGGTGGGAAGTCCCGGGGGCTGGCTTCAGGTAAGGCTGGATGCAGCCTTACATGGGTCTCAGACCATGGACCCAGGAAGCCGTTTCCCTCCACCTTGGCTCTGCTGGCCTCGGGCCTTCACTCCGAGATGCTCCCTTCAGGGTCGCCGAGAGGACCCCAGCTGCTCTGAGCTGCTGAGTCTCAGGCGGGAGGGCCCTCCCTTCCCAAGGTCTGTCCACCAGCACAGGCATCTCCGGACCAATCCCTGTACCCAGGGCAGCCAGGTGAGGGCTGGGCCCCCATCGCAGCCCAGCAGACCCCACGGCCCCGGCTGCCCTCAGCCTCCTGTGCCTGCAGGTGAAGCAGCTGCGACTGGAGCGGGAGCGCGAGAAGGCCATGCGCGAGCAGGAGCTGGAGATGCTGCAGCGTGAGAAGGAGGCGGAGCACTTCAAGACGTGGGAGGAGCAGGAGGACAACTTCCACCTCCAGCAGGCCAAACTGCGGTGCGCCGGGGCCCCCCCTGCCCCGACCCAGACTCGAGCCAGGGCCGGGCACTGGCTGGCACCCTGCGCCCTGTCTGGAGGCCATTGCTCTCCCACCCCTCAGGGTCCCACGCGGCACTTCCTGGAACCTTCCCTTCCTGACCCTTTCCCGGGCAGCGGGGCTCCTGCCTCCTGCCCTCCCCCGCTGGACTGGGTGCAGAGGAGACGGGCCCCGGTGTACGGCACCCCACGCCACCATGCATGCTGGACGCCGGGCCTGCACTGACCGCGGTTGTCCCTCCCACACTCTGCCCACGAGGGCGGCGCCCCTGTCCACCTGGTTTACAGACAAGGAAGCTGAGGCTCCGGGGTATTCCTGCTTGCCTTGGGCCCTGTGGTGGGTGACATCAGGCTCCTCCCAGCTCAGGCCTGCCTGGTGACGGGTTCTCTTGGGTTGGACCAGGGACCGCCCGCCACATGTACCCCTGCAGGCCCAGAGCAGAAGCCCTGGCCCTCCGCCCCGAGTTGTCTGCCTGGGGGAGGAGGCGGCTGTGAGGCAGGGACTGCTCTGGCCCCTCAGCCTGCCTCTGCCTCAGCTCCTCCACTCTTCCCCGTCACCGTCCACATAGAAGCCGCCCTCCCGGGCACATCCCAGAGGCCCTCCAGGAAGCCCTCCCACCTAGCCCACGCTCCGGGCCCACGCTGTGTGCACTTTGCCCTGCTGGCCTGTGCCCTCTGGCTGACCCGGCTCACTCTACCTTGTGCCTCCTCCTCTTCCTGCAGGAAGCCTTCCCTGACCACCCCCGGCATGTTAGGCCCCCTCCCCAGCTCCCACTGGTGCAGTCACCCCAAGGGCAGGGCATTCAGCGTGGAGGGTACAGCCCAGGCTCTGACACCACCTTCCCCGCTTCCCACAGCTCCAAGATCCGCATCCGTGACGGGCGGGCCAAGCCCATCGACCTGCTGGCCAAGTACATCAGCGCCGAGGATGACGACCTGGCCGTGGAGATGCACGAGCCCTACACGTTCCTCAACGGCCTCACCGTGGCCGACATGGAGGACCTGCTGGAGGACATCCAGGTACCCGGCCCCACCCGATGCTCCTCCAACCTGCACACTCGCCCCCATCCCACCCCAGCCACGCGCGTGCCCTGACCCCCGCCCCCTGCCCCCAGGTCTACATGGAGCTGGAGCAGGGCAAGAACGCCGACTTCTGGCGGGACATGACCACCATCACCGAGGACGAGATCTCCAAGCTCCGCAAGCTGGAGGCCTCGGGCAAGGGGCCAGGTAACTGTGGGCGTGCACCTGGGCTCTGGGGGAGCTGCGGGGGCTGCAGGGTTCACCCGGAAACTTCAGACTTGCTGTGGGGCCTGGTGCTCTCTTCAGGCCTCAGTTTCCCCAACTGGGGCCCCCCCTTCTGGGCCGAGCCACCAGGGGGCGGCAGCAGCAGGCGGTAGGCCCCGGGAGGGGTGCAGGGGGGCGGGCCTCTGTCTGGGGTGCAGGCCAGCAGCGTCCAGATCCAGTATGCGGTAAACGCTGACTCGGCGGTGCCTGGCCTCCCGGAGCTGCAGGGCTTTCTGCTCGGGTTTCAGTGCTCACGGTGGTCCTGCCTGTGTGAGCAGGTCTCACTCCACGCGGCCTGAAGGCCGTGCAGCCCTGGTTCAGGGCGCTCCTCCTCCCACGGGTCAGTTCATGCTCCTCCAACCTGATGGGCTTTTAAAATCACGTTTCGCTCCCCTCCGTGCGGTTGCACACATATGGTCACCCGGGACGCTCTAAAGCGTCTACCCCGAGCACTGCGGACATTCGGGCTGGGCCGTTCCCTAGGGTGGGGCCGTCCTGGGCACTGCGGGGTGCTGAGCAACATCTCCGGCCTCCACCCACCCCGGGTCAGGAACACCCCTAGTCCTGACAACCGCAGATGTCCCAGACATCACCCAGAGTCCCCTGGGGGCAGAATTGCCCTAGATGAGACCCCCCCGGCATAAAAGCCAACCACAGCAGCCCCAGCCCCTCTCCCCTGTGTTGCCCAGGCTGGTCTTGAACTCCTGGCCTCAAGCGATTCTCCTGCCTCATCTCCAAAAGGGCTAGGATTAAAGGCGTGAGCCACTGCATACTTTTTCTTTTCTTACAAAATTATTTAAGTTTTTTATTTCTGTAGGTTATTGAGGAACAGGTGGTGTTTGGTTACATGAGTAAGGTGTTTTTGTTGTTGTTTTTGGTTTTTTTCTTTTTCTTTTTCTTTTTCTTTTTGAGACGGAGTTTTGCTCTGTCGCCAGGCTGGAGTGCAGTGGCACGATCTCAGCTCACTGCAACCTCTGCCTCCCGGGTTCAAGTGATTCCCCTGCCTCAGCCTGCCAAGTAGCTGGGATTACAGGCGCACCACCACACCCGGGTAATTTTTTGTATTTTAGTAGAGACAGGGTTTCACGATGTTAGAGCCAAGATGGTCTTGATCTCCTGACCTCGTAATCCACCCACCTCAGCCTCCCAAAGTGCTGGGATTACAGATGTGAGCCACTGCGCCTGGCCGGTTACATGAACGAGTTCTTTAATGGTGATTTGTGAGATTTTGGTGCACCTAGCTTTTTCTAGGAAGTTCTAACCCTACAGTAGGTTGTGCAGTAGAAAATGGGTGTCATCCCAGCTCAGCCTCATTAGCCTGCCACCCTGTATAGGGCTTGGCTTCTCTCCACGAAACCCCGGGGCCCTTGGCCTGCACCCCCAGCCTCTAGCAGCTGCTGGGGGCCCCCTAAACCCTGTGGGCCCCCTTGTGGGCATTCGGGAGGTGACCAGACATGGAGCAGCACGTCCAGACCGACTTTCTATAAACGCTGACTCGGCGGCGCCTGGCTTCCCGGGAGCCGCGCAGCTGGGCTTTTCTGCTTGGGTTTCAGTGTTCGTGGCAGCCCCGCCTGTCCGAGCACAGCCACGCTCTGCTTGGCTGCGGCTGCCACAGATTCCATTGCCACTTAGGGCCCAGCAAAGGGGCTGCAGCTCTGGGTGCCGATTCCACGGTCCCAGGTGATTGGCTGGAGGGGACTCGGGTTCGTCTAGACTCTATCCAGTCCCTTGTGGTCTGGGTGTGGGCCTCTTGACCCTCTGTCCGCCAGTGGGGACTGGAGAAGGCAGGTTTCGAGCAGGGTGCCTGTGCTGGTCACCTCCACCTGGTGTGTCCCCAACAGCCATACACCAAGCTGCCTGTGGGCCCAGCACGGTGCGGGGAGCAGCAGCAGCGAGCCTCAGTGCCCGCCTCGGGAAGCTGCCATCGCTGGATGGTCAGGGAGGGCTTCCTGGCGGAAGGGATGTTCTCACTGAGCATGGAGGATGCGAGGAATTCAGGAAGTGAACGGGACAGAGAAGGATGGGTGGCTGGCAGGAAGCACAGCGCATGCAAAGGCCCAGAGGTGGCAGGGGTCAGGCATGGGCAGCAAGGGGGCAGGGTTGTGAGGTGAGGCCAGACCCAGCGGGGTGGGTGGCAGTGTCCTCAAAGCAGCCCTGAGGCTGCCGGCATGCCACATGGTGTGGGCAGAGCACGTGGAGTCAGGCTGGGCTCCAGCCTCCCAGCACCCACTCCCGCCGTCAGTGGCCTCCCCGTCTATCGAGGAGGGACTTGAGCCTCGGGCCCCCGGGCCAGTGGTAGATGCCAGACAGACTCCCTGTAGGATGGGGGGCGGCCCCAGGACTTCCCCAGGGGCCAGCAGGGCGGCCTTCTTTGCCAGGACAGAGCTCCCTGGATCATTGGGCTTCACAGAGGGAAACCAAGGCCCAGAGAGGGCAAGCCACTTGCCCACAGTCACACAGCCCAGGCTGGCAGAGCAGATCTGAATTCCAGAGAACTTGGCTACCGAGCACACCCCTCACCCCCTCATGGGCTGCCCAAGGCCAGGGCAGAGTTGGGCCAGGTTGGTGGACCGGGCCCACGACCAGGGTTCCCAGACCCACATGTCAGACTCACCTAGGGAGGTCATTCTCAGGGCTGAGAATGCCAGTGGTGGCCTCCCCGACACTAGGGGCCTGGGCCTCCAGGCAAGGCAGCATCTGCATTTTAACATGGCTCCCAGCCTCCGCCCACCCCTCCCCTCCGCTGCGGCCAGGGCAGGGGCAACCTGAGACCAGGGAGGAGGCGGGACCCCTGTGAGGGGAGGGAACAGGACTGGATGGGACCCCTGTGGGGGAAGAGTGGGGGAGAGGGACCCCCCCATGGCAGGGGAGGAGGCCCTGATGGGGTGGAGGAGCATACAGGCAATGTGGAACCACCCCCCATGGCCCCACCTCGCTGCAGGTGAGCGCCGCGAGGGGGTCAACGCCTCCGTCAGCTCCGACGTGCAGTCGGTGTTCAAGGGGAAGACATACAACCAGCTGCAGGTCATCTTCCAGGGCATCGAGGGCAAGATCCGCGCTGGGGGCCCCAACCTGGACATGGGCTACTGGGAGAGCCTCCTGCAGCAGCTGCGTGCTCACATGGCGCGGGCCCGGTGAGCACTGGGTGCGGGCACCAGGGGTGGTGCCATCCAGGTGGGGTGGGTTTCGCCCCCTCCTGGGTCCTGGGTGGGGTGGGTCTCGCCTCCTCCTGGGACCTTGTGGGGTGGAGGGGGCAGGAAAGTGCCAACTGGCCGGGGCCCACCTATATGAGTGATGAAGGGGGGCTGGGGGTCATGCAGGCCCGTCCCCTAGCGGGAAGGCCCCAGGATGCTCCGGTGCCCTCACCTGGAGTCCTGAGCCCCGTTGGTCTCACAGGGCTCCCCAGGAGCTTCTGCCGTTTAACGAGTACTTGGCTCCAGCAGCCATGGCATCACGGGAAGCCCTGAGGCCGCCTGCCTGTCCATGCTGCCTTCCACCCAGGCCTGCGCCCTCCCGGCGCTGTTGCCTCCTGGCCTCTGGCTGTGTACAGATTCCTGGAGTGCTTTTGGCACCGCTGTGTAAATACATGTTTCCCTTGCTAATCTGTAAACGTCTCTAAATTTATCATGCTTGTTGGCTGGTGTCCTGCTGGGCCCCTTCTCCTGGCCAGCCCCAGCCACAAGACACTGAGACTCCAACGTGAGACCCAGACCCACCCCTCCCTGCCACAGGATGGTTCTCCGGGTAGCTGGGTCCCCTCGTCCTCGCTCCCATAAGCCTTGACCCTGAACTGGCCAAGCGTCCCAGCCGGAGCCGTGGCTGCTCGCCACCTTCTCAGGGTCTTTGCAGCAAAAAGGGGGGTGAGAATCTCTGTGGGGGTGGGGCGCGGAGCCCCTTCGCCTCCACGTGGGTGACCCCGGCCCTGCATCCCAGGCTGCGCGAGCGCCACCAGGACGTGCTGCGGCAGAAGCTGTACAAACTGAAGCAGGAGCAGGGCGTGGAGAGCGAGCCGCTGTTCCCCATCCTCAAGCAGGAGCCTCAGTCCCCCAGCCGCAGGTAGGCCCGGCCCGGCCGGCACCCCGGGACGCCGATGCAGATGCGGAACAGCATGGGGGGGCCGTGGGCGGCCTCCGCCCCTCCAACGCTCTCTCCTCCCCAGCCTGGAGCCTGAGGACGCGGCGCCCACCCCGCCCGGGCCCTCCTCGGAGGGCGGCCCCGTGGAGGCCGAGGTGGACGGTGCAGCCCCGACAGAGGGCGACGGCGACGGTGAGGGCGAGGGCGAGGGCGAGGGCGAGGCGGTGCTCATGGAGGAGGACCTGATTCAGCAGAGCCTGGATGACTACGACGCTGGCAGGTACAGCCCGCGGCTGCTCACGGCGCACGAGCTGCCACTGGACGCGCACGTGCTGGAGCCGGACGAGGACCTGCAGCGCCTGCAGCTCTCGCGCCAGCAGCTCCAGGTCACGGGTAAGGGCGGGGCTGGAGGCCAGGGGGCGGGGCCAGTGGGTCGGCTGGGGGCGGGGCTGGAGATGCAGGGGGCGGGGCTCCTCCAGCCTCATTTCCTGGAGGAAGCCCCTGGCGTCAATGGGGAGCTGCTCCATTCTTGTTCCCCGGGTCTCTGAGCATCCGTTCAGTCACCTGCACGTGCCCTGGGGCGTTCACTCATTCATCCTGGGCTTGCTGGCCCGCTGGCCTTGGGGCCACAGGTGGTGGTAGCTTTCACCGGCTGCTGTCCGAGCACTCCCTGGGCGGCCTCCGTCCTAAGACAGAGGAGAAAATACCAGCTTCAGAAAATTCCTGGGCCAGGACCCCCTCGGGGGTCGTGCGTGGGGCTGGACCCCGCAGCCAGGCCCTAACCACCAGGCTCTCCTGCTGCTTGGCGGGGAAGTGCGCTGCGCTTGGTCCCCACCCAGGAGGACGATAGATAGGACAACCAAGGTCCGGGGCCCAGGGTGGATAGTGCGGGTCTTAGGGTCCCCCAGGCCCTGTCCCCCACCATGTGCCTTAGCCCGCCCCAGCCTGTTTCCTTTTTGTGGGAGACACCAGCGGCCTCCCCTGTCAGAGAGGCTGGGAGGGAGGCCAGGACGCAGGGGGAGGCCGAGGCCCGGGTGAACGCCGTCCCGCCCGCAGGAGACGCCAGCGAGAGCGCCGAGGACATCTTCTTCCGGCGGGCCAAGGAGGGCATGGGCCAGGACGAGGCGCAGTTCAGCGTGGAGATGCCGCTCACCGGCAAGGCCTACCTGTGGGCCGACAAGTACCGGCCACGCAAGCCGCGCTTCTTCAACCGCGTGCACACGGGCTTCGAGTGGAACAAGTACAACCAGACACACTACGACTTCGACAACCCGCCGCCCAAGATCGTGCAGGGCTACAAGTTCAACATCTTCTACCCCGACCTCATCGACAAGCGCTCCACGCCCGAGTACTTCCTGGAGGCCTGCCCCGACAACAAGGATTTCGCCATCCTGCGCTTCCACGCGGGGCCGCCCTACGAGGACATCGCCTTCAAGATCGTCAACCGCGAGTGGGAATACTCGCACCGCCACGGCTTCCGCTGCCAGTTTGCCAACGGCATCTTCCAGCTGTGGTTCCACTTCAAGCGCTACCGCTACCGTCGGTGATGCCCTGGGGAACGGCAGGCAGGTGTCCTCGGGGGCCGCAATAAAGGGACTTTGGTGAAGCTGACAGTCACTCCAGGGCCACTGTCTGGGCTGAAGGGCCACGGGTTCACGTCTCACCTCAGGCTGCATCTTCCCCTCGCCGGGCTTCTGTTTCCCCCTATGTAAAAGGAGGGTCACCGTAGAGCCTGCCTTGGTGAGCTGAGGACACGCTGGGACAGGCTGGCCCAGGCTCCCGATGCATCGGAGGGGGCACTGGGGGCATCTTTAGAGCACGAGGGCGGCCAGCAGCCGCCAGCTGACCTCACTGCCCAGGCGGACACACTCCGCCGACCCTCAGCCAGGCTGAGTGTGAGGTCCACAGGCCCTGCCCCAGGCGGCAGCCACATAGGTGCCCTGGAGATGGGCCAGCGGGGCCCGGGCTTGGCGGCGCCAGGCTTGTGAGAAGCAGGAAACTCAAGGCCAGCCCCGACACATCACGGGGCACCCATTGGGTGTGAGGCAGAGCCCGCGGCTGTGGGGCAGCTCCAGCCCTGCCCACAGGCCACCCTCACCCGCATTGGCAGCATTGAGGCCAGGACACTGCTGGCACCCGATCCGCCACTGTGGAAGAGACCATCTGTGGGCACCCAAATTCTGCAGGGCCCGTCCCCCAACTCACTGTGCTGGCTGTGGCTCCATTTCCCCGCAGCGGGGTGGGGAGGGTGCGTCGGGGTGCCCGTTCCTCTCATGGTCATGGGAACCAAAAGCCACTGAGCCGTTCTCCCCTAGCCTCCGAGCACAGGGCCTGGAGGGCAGGGGCTCCCCAAGCCTGGGGGTTGGGGAATGGTGAGGGGCTTCCCCCAGGGATCCCCCCATCTGGCCTGCTCACAGGGCCTTGGGGCAGGAGACCAGTGACCCCGAGTTCTGCCCACGTCAGGACAGTAGCTTCTTCTCATTCCCCCTTCTCAGGCCAGGAGGGCCGAGGGCCACACGGATGCCACAGCCCAGGTTGGAGTGGCCCAGCCGGCAGGCTTGTTCCTTCAGCATCTGATGGGAACATCTCCAATGGAAGCAAAATGGAATGTGCCTCCCGGACCCCCAAAGGGCCACCCAACCTCACCAGTCACCAGCCCCAGACCACCCACAGCCCCGCCCAGACGCCCTGCCTCATCTGGAAATAGTGTCGTTTGTTTCTCTAAAAAGACTTTTGTAGGTGGGAAAAAAGATATTTTATTCTCATGGAACTGGCCTATTGACAAGATTGCATGTTTTTTTAATAAACGTTTTATTTTAGAATAATCTCAGGTTTGCCGAAATGCAGAGTGTAGCGTCCCCAGCGCCCCACACCCGCTGCCCTAGTTGCTGGCAGCGTTTGTGACACGGTGCATTTGTCACAAGGGAAGAGCCTGGGAAGCAACACAGCACCCAACTGGGGCCCGGTGGTCCCTCGGGAGCTGCGTTAGTGCCCGGGTCTGTCTTTGCCCCCCACCCCCTCTGCGTTGCTTCCGACAGTGGGGTGATGGTCCGTTCCCCAGACGACGGGAGGGAGGGTACAAGGGTGGACACAGCTGCCGGCCTGGGCCCAGGCTGTTGTGGGGGCAGCGCTTGGCCATGCCTGGAGACATTCATGGTGGTCCCGCCTTGGGGCTGCTCCTGGCGTGGAGTGGGTGGAGGCCAGGGATGCTGCCCAGCGTGCCGCAGTGCCCAGGATGAGCCTCCCCAAATGTCCTCACTGCAGCAGGCAGAGGTGGGAAGCAGATCCTGCACTCTCCCCGGTCACTGGTCACCTCCCAGCCCCGGCCTCTAACAGGATCCCAGGAGTTTCTGGCACAGGGCTTGGGAACTGGCCAGGGAAATGCATCTGATCAGAGTCCCCTCTCCACGCTGCAGACCCTGACCAGCCTCCTCCAGAATCCCAAATCGCATTGCAGCACACACGGCACTGCCATCCCCGGCCTAGCCTTTAGCAGACATCACAAGTCGACAGCAGATGGCCAGAGCCATCTTAGAATCCTTTGGGCAGCCTCTTGGCGTGAGTCCCTGGCCAGCTCCACTGCCGATCAGGACAGGCTGCTGGGAGCAGGGCTCGGGAGGCACTTTTCTTCTTTTGAGACAGGCTGGAGTACAGTGGCGTGATCGCAACTCTGCATCCTCAACACCACAAGGCACTTTTGAGCCCAGAGTGGTGTTTGAGACAGGCTGGGTTCTGTAGTCACAGCCCAGGTTGTGTGTGCGTGGCTGGCGCAGTCCAGCCCGTACCGGGCCTAACCCAGACCTCACACCAGCAATATGTGACAGTATTTACTTCCATTTGGCTGCTTGGGAAACAGGCCCACAAAAGCCCACGTTTTCGAGCCCAGAAAGTGGCAGAGCCAGTATTAGAAACTGGGTTTCTCTACCTTGGAGAATGCCAATCCCAGACCACCATCCCTGTCCCTGCCTCAGTTTCCCCACCCGCCCCTGCAGAGGTCTCCCCAGCCCCAACATCCTGCTCCCTCCTCCTCACATGCCCTTTGCACCCCAAGGGAGATGGCTGTCGTCTAACTGGCAAGGCATATGATTTGCCAGAGGCCTCCCAGGGCAGGGGGCACACAGGGCTCAGGCCAAGCTAAGGAGCCTGGGGGAGCAGGGCACCAGGGAGCTACGGAGGGCATGTGAGCCGGGGAGGGCCTCCGAGCTGGGTGTCAGGGAGACTCTGTAGGCAGACTGGAGGTGGGGGCCAGGGTTAGGCTCTGCACACCCCCACCCCATCTGCCCCATGACTCCCAACCCTGGCCCCAGGTTCACCCGGTGTCCTGGAAGCTGCTCCGCCCCCACCCCAACTTCCTGACTTTAGCTGTGTCCAGAGCTAAGAATAGAAGCTCCCTGCCCGGTCCTTGCGGAAACCGCAGCCACGGGGGGCACATCCTGAGCCTGGCCTCTGTTCCCACCATCTGCCCCCCAGCCCCTCACAACTCCTCCCACCAGAGCCTCCTGTGCTCCCATTGAACCCGAGGTGCCTGTGGGGGGCGGGCCAAGACCAGGAGACCTCCAGCAACCAGCCCCAGACGACTGGGAAGCCCAGCGCTCATGTTCCAATCCCACACGTGGGTGCGGCATCGTTCCCCATTCGTGCCTCAGTTTTCCCATCTCTAAAATGTAGAGTATCTTTACCCCCTGCCTCGCAGAGATGTGGTGAGACTTAAGCTAAATGCAAGTGTCATTCTCTGAACCCTGCCCAGGCTGTTTCCCCGAAGAGACATTGTCCTTGTTATCTCAGGGCCAAGGACGGAGGAAGTGGGGACAGGACAGCCTTCCTCCACCTCTCACTGCCCTCTCATCTGGAGCCCCAGCCCCACATCCTCCTCCCCCTACATCTGCCCTCCTTGCAGTTAGTGTAGCAAGGGCCTCACGCTCTCTTTTGCCTCCAAAGCTTTATACATGCATTTCCTGTCACTGCCATGTATCCCAGACCTGGGGAGCTCCTATTCATCTCACAAAACCCCACTTCCCATGCCCTCTCCTCACAAGATGCCTTCCTAACTCACCTCTGGGCTTCCCTAGACCCTGTCACTTCCTTTGGCCCAGCCCTGACTCCAGGGGGCTGGAACAGTCTGTGTCCAGTTCTTTCTCCAGCCTAGGGCATCCTGAAGGGCAGACCTGGTTTCAGGTCTCACTTGGAGCTCATAATTGTCCCACTGTATAGGCTGGAACACAGAGAGGCGTTGGGGAGAGTAAGACTTGGAGATTCAGGTCGGCTTCACAGAAGAGCGGCCTTGGAGCCAGGGTTTTGCCAGATCCATAGGAGTTGGACGGGCTCCTTGCCAGGGAAGACAGAAGTTGTGTTAAATGGCTGGTGACTCAATGGGATGGAGCTTCGGGAGGGAGATTGGGTGTGGCTGAAGGCCAGGAGGAGGCAGGATAGTGGGCGGGGTAGCCGGGGAAGGGGCTTCCGGACTGGGCTGACGAGAGGACCGGGGCCAGGGTGGGAATCCCCCTCACTCAGCCTGGACTTGTAGCCCTCCCGGGCCCAGGGGACTGGGTGGGGTGGAGTCAGGGCCAGGCCAACTTGTCCGGTCCCTAACTCAAGGTTGTGTCTGGCTCTGGTGTGCAAACAAGGCCAAGGAGGCCAAAGGACCCCCCTCTGCAAAGAGATGGTCCCAGGCCCTGTGTCCCGCACCTTCTCAGTCATTCCTGTCCGGCTCCATTCCCTCCTTCCCCAGCCTGAGCTGGGGGTGGGCAGGAAAGAGTGCCCATCCCCCACTGCCGCCGCCCGGCTCCAGACCATTCCTCCTCTGGCTCCAAAGCCACCTCCCACCCTCCTCCTCAAGAGACTCTCCCACGCAATGCCATCACCCCAGCTCTCCCGGCTCACCTGCTCTGGGACCACCTGTCTCAGTCTGGCTGTGGAGTCTGGTGCAACCCCCATTCCTCTGTCCTCCCACCCCACCCCTGGAAGGGGCCTCAAACACGTCCTGCATGTATTAAGCAGGGCATAACACTACTGTGTGCCGGGCTTCAGCGCACCCAGTGCATTTGGAGCCCTGGAGTCTGGGCGCCCCCGGGGCGCCGATCCGCCTGGACCTGCCCCGCCCCCTCCAGGCCTTGGGTGCTGCCCAGATGGTGAATAATGCGGGCCTGGCGGCGGGAGCGCCGGGAAGAGGCCTGGCAGGGCGCTGGGCGGCTGGAGGGGCTGAGGCTCCCGAGGAGGGGCCCCTGCCACCCCCACCGCAGCCACTGCATCCCTGCCACCTGCGGCCTGGGGGTCCCAAGGGCGCCGCCTTCCCCAGCGGGGAAGTCCCGGCGTGCTGGGGGCACCCACTGACCCCAAGTCAGCCAGGCCTGGGCCCGAGGGGCGTGGCCAGCGCAGGGTGGGCGGGGCTGATGAGAGACAGCGAGAGACAGAGACAGGACGGGGAGAGCGAGCCGCGGGCTGCCAGCGGCCCCTACCCGTCCCAGCTCGGCTTAGCCCCCGCGGACTCCTCCAGGCCGCGCCCCCGGGGCATCCTGTGCCGCCACGCCCTCCATCTGTGTCCCGCGGTGACGGGGCAGCGCCAGGGTCCTCTGCTGGGCCCGCCCCTGGCCACAGCCAGACTGACTCAGTTTCCCTGGGAGGCCCCACTGGAGCCCGTCCTTCCCTTCCCTCTGCCTGCCCCCAGCCGTCGCCCCAGCCTCGGCGCCCGCACATCTGCCTGGACCCCCGTGCGCAGGATCCAGCCAGGTGGGAGCCCCGCAGATGAGGTCTCTGAAGGTGAGGTCGCCCTGCCGGCTCAGGGCGGGATGCGCTGCTCTTGCTTGAGCCCGGGCTGCTGGGCGCATCCGGCGCTGGCCCTGCCCTGCTGTGGGTGTGTCCAAAAGCCCGCGGTTACAGCGGCCAGGTGCCAGGTGTCCCCTGTGTGGCCCAGGGGTGGCATGGGTGCCCTGAGGCCTGCACTGGGCGCCCAGGCAGCTGGATCTGGGTGTGGCCCAGGCTGATTCTGTTGGGGGTGCTCTCTGGTCTCTGTGGGGCCACATGGCTGTGAACAGGGGTCCCAGACTCAGGTGGCTGCAGCTGGGGAGGGGGCCCAGGCCCTGGATGTGGCAGGGATCGAGTGTGGTTGTGTGGCTGTGTGTGTGTGATTTTGTCTCTGGGAGTGAACCATGTGTGGCTCTGGTTGTGTGTCTGTGTCTGTGCGTGTGTGGCGGTTGTGTGTGTGTGACTGTGTGTTTGTTTCTGCCGAGCGTCTGGGACTGTTAAACATTATGTGTTCATCTGTGCATCTTTCTGTTTGTGTGTGTTTGTGTGTATCTGTGCACCTGCTGTGTTTCTGCCTGTGTGTCTGTGTTTTTCTGTCTGTGTCTGTCACATTTCTGCCTGTGTGTCTATGTGTGTCTCTGTCTGTGTCTGTCGTGTTTCTGCCTGTGTGTCTGTTATGTTTCTGCCTGTGTCTGACTGTGTCTGTGTGTGTCTGTGTGTCTGTAGTGTTTCTGCCTGTGTCTGACTGTGTCTGTGTGTGTCTGTGTGTCTGTAGTGTTTCTGCCTGTGTCTGTCTGTGTGTGTCTGTGTGTTGTGTTTCTGTGTGTGTCTATCTCTGTGTGTCTGTGTGTCTGCCATGTTTCTGTATGTGTGTCTGTGCATGCCTGTGCATCTGCTGTGTTTCTGCCTGTGTGTCTGTTGTGTGTCTGTTGTGTGTCTGTGTGTGTCTGTGTGTCTGCCATGTTTCTGTGTGTCTGTACATGTCTGTGCGTCTACCTGCTGTGTTTCTGTTTGTCACATTTCTGCCTGTCTGCTGTGTTTCTGCCTTTGTGTGTCTGGCTATCTGTGTGTGTCTCGAGTGTGCACACACGGCGGTGGCCTGAGGTGTGTGTTGGTGGAATCACTGTAGCTCGTGGTCCACCATTAACCACCAGCCACACTGCCTGGGTCCCGCCCCCTGGTCCCCTGCCGGCCCCTGTGTGAAGAAGGCTCCCTGCGTGCTCCCTGGGGGAGCCCCCACTAGAGAGATGGGGAAACCGAGGCTCACAGGGGGCCATGTGACTCAGGGCCCAAACAAGGCTGGTGGGAGTCTGGCTGGCTGGGGGAGTCCCCGCCCTGCACCCTATGGGCTGGGGACCCTGTTGGTGTCGCAAACAGGAAATGTTCCCGGAAACAGAGCTTTGCGGTGAGGGGAGGTGGGCCCATTAGGGTATGGAATGTGTCTGCCTCCACATCCGTGCAGGGTCCGCGCCCATGAGCGTTTGGGTCTACAGCAGGCATGGGAGGATCTGGCCTGGTCCCTGAAGTTTCAGGCCCAAAAGGGCCCTGTGGGTCCAAGGTCCAAGGTCGACCGGGGTGACACGGAGCCTCAGGGCTCCCTCCTGGCTGCCCGGACACCTTGCAGGGAGCTGAGCTGTGAGTACAGCCAGGCGCCCTGGAGAGGTGAGAGCCAGGGAGGCCTGGGCTGAGCACCTGCAGGCATGGAGATCAGAATCTCACCCCCAATTGCACCGAGCGGGGAAACTAAGGCTCGGCGAGGTGGAGCCTCACCCTGGCAGTGGCAGATCGGGGACTACAGCCTCCAAGCCTGTCTGAGGGAGGCGTGATGGGCTCAGGCCATGGCAGGCAGGCGGGGCGGGCAGGGTGGGGCGCTGAAGAGAGGGGACTTGTTGAGAAACGGATGGATGATGAGGGGCCGCGCTCCAGGCAGGAGGAGGAGAAGGAGGGACGGGGCACGAGGATGGAACGTGGAGCGGAGGAGAGGCCTGCTCTTTGGGAACCGAGGATCACATTCCACTGGCAACCAGGCTTGGGGGAGCCAGGCCTGGTGCCCACGCCCAGCCGAGCGCCCGGGCCTCTGGAAACAGCGCCGGACAGAGCCCTCCAAGTCACACGACCCGCGAGCCGGGTCCCCTGTCAGGGGTGGCATCGGATGAGGAGGAACTCACTGTCCGCCTTCCAGAAAGAAGCCGGGAATCAAGACAGAGATTTCTGGAACCCGAGACCCAGGCAAATTCCCATCAAAGTTGCAGGACCTCAGCCTCCTGGGATTCTAGAATGGAGAGGCATTCTGCGTCCCGGGACTGAAGGAAGCATGTTAGAATTCCAGAACCCTGCACCCACTAAGGGCAAATGCCTGCTCTCAGGCTGCAAAATTCTGGAATTATTCAGCATGAAAAAGGGATCTTGGGTCCACACCTCTCCCCAGACACAGGGAGCGACCGTAATTTTCCCAAGAGCCGCACGGTGCTGCTCTACTCCCCCACGGGGTGGGGGCCCCTGCTGCCCCTCCTGGCCAATGCAGGAGGGAAGGGAGGCCCTGCCTGGTCCCCCCATTGGCCTCCTTGCCTGGAGAACTTGAGACGGTTTCCATCACCTGAACCCAGGGTGGGGAGTGGAGGTGGCGGGGGGACTGGAAACAGCCAGCTGTGGCCAGAAGGACTCAGTGCCAGTTTCCAGGCTCCCCTGGGCCGAGGGCTCTGGGCCATGCATTTGCTCCCAGCCACGGGAGGTGTGAGGGAGTTCCGGGTGTGTGACCCCCGGTGAGTGGAGTGTGGTCGAGGAGACCCTGAGACCCAGGAGGGACTGGAAGTTGCTCCAGGCAGAGGTCGGGGCAGTGGCTGCAGGGACAGCCGAGTCCCAAGGAATGTTCAGAAACGGCACATACCAGCTCTCGAGGGAGGAACGCCTTGTCCCAGGGGAAACCCAAGTGCAGGAATCCAAATCCCAGGCATCAAAGCAGCCCGGGGTGGAGGGCAATGACTGCCAGAGGCCGCGAGGAGCCCCCCACCGCATCTGCTCTCCAGGCCTCAGTTTCTCCTCTGGAAGCCCCACCTCCCACCACAGCGGCAATGGCCTTAGCCGTCCGCCCAGGAAGGGAGCGCAATGCTGCTGTCGGGAGCTGGATAATTTATGAGGCTGGATGAAGTGTAGCCAAGCCCAGCAGCTGGGCCAAAGAGCCACAAATGAGATGGGGAGTGAGGGCCACAGTCACCCATTGCACCGCCCTGGAACGCATTAGCTGCTGCAACCCCACAGCCCAGGCACTGCCTCAGGGCCAGCAAGCACTGAGCGCCTGCTGTGGTGTGCTGGGCGCTTCATGTGGATCAGTTCATTCCCGTCACCAGCCCCCACCCCCACTTTTTTTTTTTTTTTG